AAATTTTGAAGGCAGGCGTTGAAAGGAGATCGAACTCAGGTGGCCAAAGCCCCGGCGGAACTCGGTCTTTGCCACTGGCAACATCTGGTTGGTTTGATGCTGGACCTCTTCACAGTCATGGTTCTCTTCCTCCCCCGCCGTTCTTTTGTGGGCCAACCAACTTCTTTCTCCCACAACACCCCTGCCGCGGAGGAACGCAGAACCACCCGCGATGGACGTTCGACCACGGAGCCGAAGTTTCAGTCAGTGTCACTTGGTGAAAAGGCTGCCATAAAGCTGGCACGGTAGCGAAGGAAAGCGCAGAGTGGAGCAATCCAGTCTGAGACTCCCACAGGTCGCCTGAGGGCAAGAATTGGTCCAATGGGTTCGGATCATGAATTGGGGTGCCAAAAGCAGCCAAAAACGTTCCCCTCCCTTGTGTCGTTGTTTTTGGAAGATCCTTGAAAGCCCGGTGATCGGTGGGGCTTTGTGCACCATTGGATTTCGGATCTTTTTCTATGCGTCTCACTGACCAAAACGTGCAAAATGCGTCTTAAGTCACACGTGGCTTGGCACCGGCATTGCCAGCGTACCAACCTTTACTTTTAGTATTTTCTTGGGTCTCAGAATTTCATTGCCGCCCAGAACAGGAGAGAAGCACAAACAATTGAGACTCCTCTCTCTCTATTTTGGGGCCACATGGTTCCGTAGCGCTTTAGTGTCCTCTCTATTTTGGGACACTTTTGGGAGTCGCTCTCACTTCGCAGGCCGTGCCGCTCCAGCCCCAAGTGACGCAACTGGCGTCAGGCACCCACCGGTGTCACTCGCCGTAGACCTGGGATGTCCAGGTTTTAGAGCGGGATTTCTCGATGTGCCCCTGAAAACCACTGGTTTGTGGTAATGTCAGGGTGCATATATATTTAGTCTTCTGGCAGAAGATTCTCAGCCCTTCTCACGGGATGACTTCAGACTTTTGCCCCTGACGTGCATGGATCATCCTTCCACTCCATGAGCCTCCGCTCCCTGCCAGGGCTTCCGTTAATGCTTCGCTTGCGGGGCACGGAGCACTCGGGTGTGGCGCCCTTGGCCTTCCCCAAGGCGCGGCTCTCAAGCGCTCTCAGTGGTTGGAGGCAAACTCTAGCTTGTCTCAGAGGTCCTGCAGGTCTACTATTAAAAGAGCTTTCTGTTTTAATTGTTTGTCTTTGTTTTGGCGCTTGCCTCTACTTTTCTTTAAACAAAAACAACCACACAAGTATATAGGTTGTTGCTAGCTGCTAGCCCTGTTGGCTTTCGGTCCTGTCCTACCCGCCCTTTCAGCTTTGCGCAGGCGGGCTTCCGGCCGCTGGCCGAGGCTTCGAGCGAGGACTTCTGCCCCTTCAGCCGGGGAGTGGCAGAGGCGGCCCATTTCGGGGTTCTGCCCGGGGTGGGGAGACATGTTCGGCTTGTGATTTCAGAAAGATGAGCACTGCAAATAAAACATCACAGATGGGTGTTTTTTAGATGCCAAGAAACCGATCGATTTCATCCGATTTCTTTCATCCCAAGAAGAGACCTCCTCGAAACAGTTGGCTCGAGGCCTCGACGGAGCGCACCGCGGCTCTGATCACGGAGGTGCGGCGGCGTTGGTGGTGGCTGGGCTGATCCTTCGAATGTGGATTTGGGTTGGCAAGTCGCCAATAGAGGTAGGCTGCATGCTCCAGGTTGTGGCATGGTATGGCTAGCTACCAGGTAGTTCTTGGAGTCAAGTGTTTGATGCTGCCAATGGTGACAGGAGCATCTTGAAGGCTTTGCAGTGCCAGACGATCACGTGGTGGGTGGACTCAGCGTCACGGGACCCACGAAGCAGACGTCGAAGCGGACGGGTTTGGAACCGATGGGTTGGGACCTGATCTGCAGAAAGAGCCGTTGGGATGTCTTTCTCCGGCCAGTTTGACCAAAGGAATCACAAACTTCCTGCGAAACTCTGTGTATCTGGAGTTGATGGGAGATTCTTTCTGACTATAACTAAGAAGCTAGTAGTAACAAGTGCCACGCTACTAGTAACAAGTGCCTTACTAGTAGTAACCAAAAAGCTAGTAGAGTATATAGGACCTGGTAAAGTCCACAACTCACTGTGTTGGTGCTCTGACATGGTGGAATTCACCCATTCCATTATAGCTCGCTTGACCTGAAACGGCGCACAGTTCTCCCGACCTCCCGTTCTCCCCACGACTTGAGAAGTCGCCTGCTCTTTTGCCAGGTGGAATTATACGACTTGGAAGGCATGGAACGCTTTGACTTGTCGCGGTCGCCGCCCCTTTTTTTCATCGAGTTCGCTGGAGCTGGCTCCTGGATCACGCTCCGTGTGGGAAGGTAGCAAGGCATCCAAGGGCTCAAGGGGGCCATGCAGGGCTGGAGATGGCTTCAGGATAGGCCATAGAGTTCGTACTTGGGGGCGCGGTGGAGCTTTGACCATCCACCCGACCGGTAGATGACATAGACCATCCATTTTCAAGCGTTTTCACTTTTCAAGGATCCCCCACCTGTGAGGCCCCCGGAGCAACGGCGCGACCACCTTGAGGTGCGACGAGGGAAACTGTTGAGCAGGGGAAGTGTGAGGGGACGTGGAGCTGGTCAGCCCCTCAAGAAGGTCTCCACTTCAACGGTTTGAACCGCCAGCAGAGCGAGTGGAGTCAAGCACGAGAACGCTCCAGGTTGACACAGCAGCTGGTGGAAGCGTTGAGTTTGCCCAGGCAGGCCACCTGCGCCTGCTCAAGGGTTTGAGTGACGGTCAGAACTTCCCATACTGAAGTTTTTTGGGTAAAAGTATGGGCGTGAGACTCAAGGTGCTTAGCCAGCCGAAAGATCCAATGCCCTTGTGATGAGCATCACATGAGGCTGTAACCGGCAACGGACGAACTTACTCTCATGGGGCATGTGCAAGGCCTGTTTGTCACGGCACATTTTTTTTGCAGACATGCGCAGACTCTAAATTCCTTCCGTGGCGCAGTGTTGCGTTTTTGTTTGGGGACACGTGACACAGGATATGAGGTAGGGGCCAGCAACTATCGGAAGGTTTTTCTTGCATCCCTCTGCGCCAAACTTCGTCAAGGGATCATGCCTGGAGAGTGCATGAACTCGCCCTCCGAATCCTTTTTCTCCGACCCAAAGAGACTCATAGAAGCTACTAGCATCTACTACTAGCGATGGCCTCCACCCTAGCAATGATCTCATACAGATGTATGATTTGTATGATGATGTATGTATCTAGAATCTAGATGGACTTCGTGACCTCCTGCTAGGCCCTGGTCGCAGCATCTCTGCGTGCGGGAGGTTTCGGAAGGTGCCACTGCCTTGGTGGCACTTCGGAGGCCAGGGCGACGCATGAGGGGCGTTTGTGCCGTATTCCAATGTGAATTCTGGCTGGTGGAGTCCACTGGTGGAGGGTACATCATCATTTGATCCTGCTGCATCTCTGCAAGTTGTGTTTTTTCAAATGCGTCCGATTTCGAGAGTTCCTGCCCAGTATCCGCAGCATGGCTTGCTTTCACGGTCAGTTGCACTCTATGGTTCCTGTGGCACTCCATGTGTAGTGAGGATTTCTCCTTCTTACTGTTTATTTGCAACAATCATCCAAACATTTGGAAGGGAAAAGCCAGCGAGAGGCTCTCAAATGCGCCCTGATCTTCTTTAAGCCCTGGCCCCACTTCGCCAGGGCTGCCCACGCTCACCAACTCGTGGAAGGCCCGAAGTGCGGGTCAGATTGATTGAAGAAACCCGCCGGCCCATGCGAAGAAGGTGTCGAGGTGTTCGACATGTTTTGATACTTTCGGGAAGTCACTCCCATGACGCATGGCCTTACTACTAGTACCAAGAAGCTACTAAGAACAAGTGCCACGCTAGTAGTAACAGGTGCCTTACTAGTAGTAACAAGAAGCTAGTAGAAACAAGAATTAAAAGTAAATAGAACCTCCTCCTCAAGCACCACCTCGCCCACCTGTCTTTGGAGCCGAAGGTGGCACCGGTGGCGCCGGCTTCGGCGGCTTGGCACGGCACATGGGACAGGCCACGGCTGCCGCTCGCCAAAGGCGTGGGGGACTGAAGGGGATCGTGTGTTCTTCTGTCCGTGAATCACATCTCCGGTCTCCTCGCATTCAGAATGCATGGTAGATCGAAGCTTCCTGGTCCATAAGATACCGTGCATGACGGCGTTTCCAGTGGTCCTCATGCCCAGCGTTTCCAGTTGAGACTGCACCGACGGTCCCAACCGAAAGCGGGCGGAGGCTTCGCGAGTGGCGCCACGCCGCCGCCGCGGCGCCTGCCGCGGTGCGTGCGCCGCGAGGGGTGGGCACGTGCACCGTGGGCGCGGCGCGGCGGTTGATCCACGGGAGCCTCAACGGAGTGCCGATGCCCTTGGCACATTTGGTGGAGGCTGGGAAGATGAGAAGATGGGAAGACTTGGTAGGAAGAACAATTACTTGGTATGCTTGGGAAATCTTGCGAATTTGGGAGGTGATTGAAGTCTGCCGTCTGCCATTTGTTTTGGAGATTCTTTTCTTTGTGCTTTTATCATATTTCATCCATATGTATTTAATGTGTTGATCAATCCTTTTGATGTCTTATGATCGACCAGGAAAAGAACTCCAAGCGCACACGTGAGTGATGGAGCTGAGCTTTAGCACCAAGCAACGCATGCAAGGCGACTCCAACACCTTGAACGACTCCCACGAAAGACTCTTGATAAGAAAGCAGACACATCCCAATTGGGGTATGCTGTGGGTGACTCTGTCTTTCTCTATCCATCGGGTAAGTTTGGAGTTCACAGCGTTAACTCTTGCATTAGCTTCATTAGCTATTATCTATTCTGGATCTCTTTTCACTCTCCCATTGCTGGTTGCTTGGTGAGCAGTTCGAGATCAGCTGCTTGACCCGCTGAAATCCAGGGATCTGCTCGCAGCGTCGGCGTCGAAACCAAAAAATGCGGTGCTCCGCAGCGCGGTGGCTGGCACGGCGCTGTCGCCGACCAAGCCGACGAAGCCCAGGTCTTGGAGGCCCGAAAGACCAGGAATGCGGACAAAGAGGCGAGAATTTGGAACAGAATGTTTTGATGTGTTTGAAATCTACAGAGGCTATTTAGGGCTATGGTTTCCAATGGTTTCCAAGAAACCCGGGGGAAATTCGATCAGATGGCGACGATCGTGGAGATGGAAGGAAATTGAATGGAATTGATACAAACCCACAGGAAACATCGAAACAGTCCTGTCGCCGCTGTTTGCCCATCTGTCCCATCCACCTTCTTCCGGCTTCCTCGACACCAATCCTTCCATAATTGTGCCCCCCACAAGGCGTTTTGATCCCGAGAACCTACTAGCGATGGCCTCCAACCCAAAAGCGATGGCCTCCAACCCAAAAGCGATGGCCTCCAACCTAAAAGCA